TTCAGTAGCACGTTGAGTTATATTTGTACAAGGTAGAGGTCAACAAAAAAAGCTTGCCCAGGGAACATGGTTTAGGTTGAAAGTGCTTTTGCAGGCTGGGCCTTTAGTTCCTGTGCAGGTAGAAATGTGTGAGAACTTTGGCCTTTGCACATGTGCTGGGGAATTTTCAGGTCTTGTGCTGTCAAGAAAACTCCCTGAATACTTTTGTTCTTAGAATTGTTCCAAGTAATTCTCCCACCCCAGCTGGCTGTCCTACAATTCAGTTCAATTCTGATGCTACGTACCTGGTTTGATCATTTATTGGAGCAGCCCACAGAACTCGGCAAGACGGTTTACTCACTGGATTACCAGTTTGTTGTCAAGGGTACAACTCAGGAACAGCCGGGTGACGAGATGCAGAGGGCAAGGTACCTGGGGAGGTGGGGCGGAGCTTCCTGCCCTCGGGGTCACCCTCCCAGCACCCGCACCTGCTCACCGACCTGGAAGCTGTCAAGGCCTAGTCTTTTAGGGTTTTTATAGAGGCTTCATCATACAGGCATGATTGATGAAATCATTGGCCATTTGCAGTTGGCCTCCCTGGAGCTCGGGGGTGGGGCTAAAAGTCCCAGCCTCTAATCACACAGCTGGTTCCCCTGGCAGCCAGTCTCTATCAAGTGCTTGTCTGGGGGCTTTCCCGAAATCACCTCATTCCCATAAATTCAGACCTACTCGAAAGGGGCTTGTTATGATTAACAAAACACACTTCTTTCACCTTTACTAGTAGCTCGGGAGCTATTTCAGGAACAACAGAAAAGGGCCAGATGTTATAACGAAGATGCTCCCCTTAACTCGTATCAGTTAGGAAATTACAAGGATTTTAGGAGCCGTGTGCCAGGAACCATGGAGGAAGATGAAAATATATACTTATTCTCTTACCACAGCCTTACAAATGCCATCTATTATTTTCTTCTCAGGGACAAATCTCCTCTTACTTAAGACTTTATCACCCTCTAGGGTTTGAGCCTTGTAAGGAAGTCGGTGCCCTGCCCTGCCCAGCTCTCTGTTACTTCAGCGTGCACCTCATACGTGAAAATGGGGGGAGATGGGGGAGAGGCTTCCGTGGGTCCGTAAAGAAAGGACAGGAAGGATGCATCTGGCGCACACGTGGTGCAAGTAGCGTTTCTTTAAGGTGCCAAAATAGTTTCATAAAGCGGATCCAGTGTCATCTTTACTATCTAATTAAAGAAGCCACTAGAGGGCGCCGTGAACCAAGGAGGGGGCAGTGGAGCGAGTGGGGTCCGGTGGGTGGCAGGAGGCGGTGCCAGTCAGGTCCTCCTGTGACTCACGCTCTCCTCTCTGCCTGCAGCCTGCCCTGTTCCTGGCTTGGCTTCTGGAAGACATTCTCCCAAAGTAATCCAAACTTGAATGTGTCTCACTGAATTTGTACTCATTTTAGACCTCAGCGAGCCTCCTTTGCTAAAGATGACAGTGAGACCAGATACACCTGTGATTTGGGGATCCGATGAACGAATCAGACGTCTGGGACAAAAGTCTCTGACCAGCTTAGGACTGGGTTATTTAAGGAAGGAAAATAACTATTAATAACTTGATTTACAGCCATGTTGTTTGACCTACATTTGTCCAGTAAATATACCCTCCCAAATTCGTATGGAGGGGAACGTCACGTATAGAATCGTTTCCCTTCCCCGTTGCAGGACTCCTTTCAGAGGTACCGGCTCACGGCAGATACTTTGGCCTCAAGGTAGCAGCTATAGACACTTATCTTAACAGTCCTTTCCAGAAGCCTCTGCTTTGTTAATGCCCTGGTGTTTGATTCTGCCACGACGCTGCAGGAAGGCTTCCTCACGTGGTGAGCACCGATGCACGTGGATTCATGCAGGCGGCCACACGTGTAGGAGAGACACAGGGCAGCCTTGCTCCACGAAGGACTGGCTCATGGAACGTTTGAAAGAATTGAATGTCATTCCAGCAAAATCTCAGTGTAGTAATTTCTTTTAAAGTGCCGTCGCATGTGGAGAAGCGTCCTCTTTAGAATCGACCCTTTAAAACCCTTGTTAGGAAGATTTAATTATCAGTCTTTATTAGAATTTAACAAAGTTTAAGTAAAATCAGACAACACTAAGTGATGTTATTTTCCAAACAGACAAAATGCTACCTGACCCCACAGGAAGTTTTTAACGTTTGTCCTAGATTAGGATATTTTAGTCTCTATTCTTTGCTCTAAGGGCTGTGGAAAATAGGCAAGTTTGAAACATGCCAATATAGTGGTTGGAGTTGATCTATGAAAATTCTAACCTACCAAGTGAATGTTAAATGACTAACCTGGCTCTAATAGGTTCACCATTAAATGTATTAGCGTAGAAAGTGGTTTTATCAATAACCCACCTCACAGGAGAGTTAAAGCACTTTAGGGCGTGCATTGCACCTACACCTTTTACCTTTATATTTACCAGCTTACGTCCAATTTGCCTTTATATTTACTTTGAATGATGTCAGAATCACTCTGTGTTCCTGAAAGCACAGTGACCTGAGTGCAGCGCGGGGTGGCCCAGGAAGGACCTGGTTGGTGGGAGAAGGAACAGAAAGAAAAGGACAGGAGACACAGAGGCCTGCCCCCGTGGGCACAGCCAGGGGCTTTCAGAAATGTGTAG